TTGATATTTGCAAGCTTCCCCTATTGCACAGAACCTGCTTTCCAGGGTATGTTCCCGCAAAAATCAGATTCATCTTGCTTTGTTTATCTTTTGAAGTTTGTGCATGTTTTAACGCATTATTTGATTGTTTTCTCTCGGTTTCTGTGTAGTTTTCAGCCTGTTCTCATGCTTGTTCTTAGCAAGTAATTGTGTAATTTCCTGTAAATGAGGTGCAGGATTCACATGGTGTTTAAGAGTTTGGGAGTAGTTGTCTGTGTATTTTTCAGCCTGTTCTCATGCTTGTACTTAGCTAGTAATTGTGTAATTTCCTGTAAATAAGGTGCAGCATTCACATGGTGTTTAAGAGTTTGGGAGAACTTCTCTTGTTTTCCTCATAGAATCCGCATCTTCTTTCCATGAATTAACAGAACTTTACTCGTGATGTGAACCTTAATTTTCTGCTTTAAAGTTTCATACATTGTAAACTATAACTGCAACTCGAAGACCTCAAATATATGCATATTATGAGTTCTTATGATTTCTATTTGGAGCTTATGGAGTACGTAATAGCATCAGCAGCTGGATGTGGTAGAAAGTTTTCAGTTAGACTAATGAACATGTTTCAGAACAATGGCAGCAGAAGCTGTTAATGTGAAGGAATTCCAGGAGTTGGCCAGACAAGTGCTTCCAAAGATGCACTATGATTTCTATGCTGGAGGTGCCGAGGATCAGTACACCTTAAAAGAGAATGAAGAAGCATTTAAAAGAATAATGTAAGCTGTTAAATTAGTAATCACCACATATAGGTTCCAGCAATTTTGTAATCATTATTATTTGCATCCTCTCAGTATCCAGCCTAGAGTTCTTGTGGATGTGAGTGGAATTGATCCATCAACTACAGTGTTGGGTTTTAATATCTCAATGCCAATTATGATTGCTCCTACTTCTATGCATAAGCTGGCAAATCCAGAAGGTACAATTTCTTTTCAAAGAAATCCAAACTGCCTGATTGCAGAGTCTTAATCATTTCCCATTTGTGTTGATTCCAGGGGAGCTTGCCACCGCCAGAGCAGCAGCAACTTGTAACACAATAATGGTGACAATATAATATGCATTAACACCCTTTTCTTAATTTAGGTGCCTATGATATATTAATACTTTTGCTTTTGTCCACTTATTTCCCATTTTAGGTCTTATCTTCCTCTTCTACCTACCGTTTGGAAGAGGTTGCTGCCTGCTGCAACGCTGTTCGGTTCTTCCAATTATTTGTATTTGGCCTCTACTGATTCCTTCTTAGGCATTACCAAGAGACTAATACTAGTTCTTTCTTAAGAAGAACTAAATTCTTCTGTCTCTTTAATATCTTTGCTGGTTTCTGTGATTAGATGTACAAGAAACGGGATGTATCAGCTAAGCTGGTGCAGAGAGCTGAAAGTAGTGGATACAAGGCTATTGTTCTAACTGCTGATACTCCAAGACTTGGTCGTAGGGAGGCAGACATAAAGAACAAGTAAGTGCAGATTTGTTTGCATTTACAATCTGGATTAGTAACATAGACATTGTTACATGTCTCATTTTACACGGCATGCACAATCCTTGATCAGCATCTGATGTATGTGAAATGAAAATTCTGCAGATTGATTGTACCTGAGTTCGAGAATTTGAAAGGCCTACTATCAACTAATGTTGTTCCTGTGAGTGGAATATCCAGTTCCCACCAACATTTTATTCTTAGAAATTGAAAAGCCATCAGTAAGAAATTGAGTGGGGAAAATTTTACAGTTTCAATCAGTAATAGAATGGCTTGTCATTTGAATTCATAGACTAGTATTGCTAAATCCATCTAATGAATGGATTTTGCAGGATGGAGGCTCAAGTTTAGCAGCTTATGCCAAGGAGACTCAAGATGCTTCTCTTAGTTGGGAGGTATAAAGCACAGAATTTGTAATTTTATCTTGCAAGTTGCAATATGCTTCTGGAAAGTCTTATCAGAAAAGTCCTCTCAAGCTTTCTTGCCCACCTTCCTCCTTCATTCGTTTCCTTAACAAAAAACCAATAATAAAAAGGCCATCTCATAGTTCATGTAAAAGTAGAACCTGTAGGATATTAGTGGAAGCAAATTGCAAAAAAAATTGCTTTAGTGTTCTAATGCTTTATTTGGTTTTACTAATGACTGGTGCATATCTTCATACCTGCAGGATATAGCATGGTTAAAATCTATAACAAACATGCCAATTCTGATCAAGGGTATACTCACTCATGAAGATGGTATACAACATCTAATCACTTATTCATTTTGCTGTTTCTTCCTCTATACAACATAGAAGGATATATTCTTCTCTATCTTTACTTCCTCTGTTATGTGCTTATCTCCCTAACCTTTTTAAAAATAAATCATACGTGTTAGGGGATTTTTTAGCCTCTTCATGAAAGGATCAAACTCACTTAGCTTCCTTACATGCTGCAGAATCTAATAACTGAGTCTGTGCATTGGTAACTATGATCTTTATTACAAACCTGTTTACTATATCTGCAGCAACAAGGGCTGTTGAAGTTGGTGCCGCTGGGATTATTGTCTCCAACCATGGAGCTCGCCAACTAGATTACTCTCCTTCTACTATATCTGTTCTGGAAGAGGTGATTCTCTTTCAACACCTCCTGTTTACTTATGCAAACCACAACTTTGATAGTTACAACTGTCCAAACATGTTAACTGAAGCTACCATAAACAGAAAAAGGAAAAAAATGAAAATCTGAAGCACTCTGCATGTAAAATAAGTAAGCAATGATTAGCAAGAAAAAGCTTGCAAATTCTGTTTATGTTTGTTCCACACTGAGTTTGAGTTCTCAGGTGGTACATGCCACTGGAGGAAAACTTCCAGTTTTCCTTGACGGTGGAATTCGGCGAGGAACTGATATTTTTAAAGCATTAGCCCTTGGAGCAAAAGCAGTCCTGGTAAGCTCTTAAAAATGTTTAATTTGGTCTAGTAAAATAGGATTGCAAAGACTAAGATGTCATAATTATAACCTTATATCCTGCTACAGGTTGGGAGGCCAGTTATCTATGGTCTGGCAGCAATGGGGGAATACGGGGTGAAACGAGTTTTGGAACTGCTAAAGAATGAGTTTGAGCTCACCATGGCCCTTGCTGGCTGTCCTAG